ACATATTTTTAATAAAAAAGACTAAAAAATATAAAAACCTATTCATCAATTAATCTTTATTACGATTCTTATTTCGTATTATCCATAACTCTTATAAAACATTATTAATTAGCACTCTAATTATTCTGTATTTAAAAGTATATTAAAAAATCAACAATTTACGAGATACTTTATACTTTATTCTGGCACATTTTGATATTAAATCGTAAACTATTAATTTTTTGATGATCGCACCATGATATTTTCATAAACAGAATAATGAGATGAATCAATTGATGTAAACAAAACACAATTGTTTATTTAAAAAATTATCCATTTTGTCTACATATTTTTTAGAGCAACTATGTATCTTTTTTATCAATCGAGTCATTTCATTATTTTGTTCATAAAATATTAAGGTATATTTATAAAAAAAATTAATAGTTTATGAAATACGTATTTAATATTTCTTCATTATCTTTATGTCATTATGTGTCGGAATAAAATATAAAATATTTTGTAAACTACTGATTTTTTGATATGTCTGTTTTTTTAATACTTTTATATGTAGACTAATTAAAGGAATCATATTATGTAAAAGAAATTATATAATTTCATTAAAATAATAAGTCACCATAAAATCTCGATGTGTCTACCTAGAGAGGATTTGTTATCATCAAAAGATATCTCTCTCGAAACAAAATAAGTTTCACTTGAAACATTTTTTTGAACGAAAATAGTTTCAGAGATAATTACGTTTGAAGCTTCAACTGAGACATCCTGTATATATATATATATATATATACATATTCTGTAATATGAAATTATAATGACATTATTATAATGTACGTCTTATATTAATTTGGCTTATATTAATTTGTTCACTGAAATATTTCAAAATCTATAAGTTTTAGAAGGAAAGTTTTTAGACAAAAATTGTATGCTCTGGAGGGAAACGAATAATGATAAAATTAATTTTTGAAAAAAATTGAAAAATTGTTCAAGATTATCATCATTTTTAAAATAAAATTATATGATTTTTTTAAAAATATGATTCCTTCAATTACACGACACATAAAAGTATTAAAGTAGAATTATAAAAAAAATCGTACGAAATATTTTATTAAACTAAAGAAAAAAGGGGGCTATGAGCCAAAAATTATTATATAAAATAAACCGTCGAAATATAAAAGTTGAACAAAAATAAAAGAAACAAATATATTGTTGAGTGAAAATTTAATATGCTAATAGTAAACAAACGTTTCGATCATTTTCAATGTTAAAAACAAATATATTTATTATAGTTGATAAAAACAAAACATAATAAATTTTCTATTTCGCTCTCTAAGACAGACGCTGGTGACGTGAAAAACGAATATCACAATTATAATATATATAATATATATCGAAAAAAGAACATACGCATGATAATAGCTACTTGCAATCAATAATTGAAATGTCAATAGTAAAAAAATAAGTTTAAATGTCCTTAGATTTGAAGTAAAATACGCATGAAATGGATCCGGTTCTGTAGAAAATATAATACAATAGAATTGTGTCAGCGCAAAAAATCAACAAGGAAAAATTGTTAAAAAGCGTAAAGACAATCTAATATTGAGATAATACAAAGCAAAATTAATAAAAGTTAAAATTGCCAAAAGTATATCTATATATTAAATGAAAATATAATTTAGTAACCACTAAAATTAATATGAATAAATATCTTAAATGTAACAAACCCAAAGTTTTTTAAGTCAGAAAATAAAAAGTATTTCAGGTACAGACAGTCAATTGAAAATAGAGATAATGCGGAAAGAAATAAATGATGTAATATAATGTCTTATGAGACATAATGAAAAATGAACATTAACACAAATTGAACATTAAAGGAAGGAAGGAAAAAATTGTTGGAAAGTTGGATAGTGGGAGGTGGAAAATAAGAGGGGATAGAAACGTGGAAGAAGTCATAGAAAGAATGATGAAAGGAAAAAGAGGAATTAATAAGAAGAGAAAGAGGAATAAGAAGAGAAAGATTGGATAATTTGTAGATAAGATACAGTGTTGTTTTGTTTATTTAAACCCTGTTTTTGATCTTTTAATGTGAACCATTTCAGAAATCAATCTTTTATTGTAGGAAGATTCACTATCTAAAATCTTCACTTTATTCAATCTGAAATTAATACGGTGATCGGATATGACAGATGGAGAACCCGTTTTTTTGTTGATATTTGAAATATGTTCACGTATTCTCGTATTTAATTTTCTTTTTGTTTGGCCAATATAGCTAGCCTTGCAATCATCATATGAGATCTTATAGACCACATTTTGATTCGAAAGCAATCCTAGCTTGTCCTTTTCTTTCTTTATAAAACTTTTTAAAGTGTTGATAGTGGAAAATGCTAATTTACAGTGAACATATTGAATAGGTGAAAAATTTTCGAAGATAGATTTAATATAAGGAATTGTGAAGAATTTTTCTTTGATTTGTGGGATATGTATAGTGTGTTTATTATATATGTGAAATTTTAATCGTTTTTCTATAGTGGAAAAAAGGAAAGAGGAAAGTTAAGAAAAATATGAACTTCTTCTTACTTCTGTTAAATTCTTATGTCAAGGATATGATAATAAAAATGTTTTATCTGCTGATAAATTGATAAAACTGATAATTATATCTTTTTTGTGACAAAAAGAATGATTGGAATGAAAATTAAGGAATCTTCCAAAAAATGTTACTTTGTCGTATCGAAAATAATTCTCTGACTATATATCAATAATTAAAGTCATGTTAAGAAAATTCAATCTATCATCGATGCCAACCTCCACAGTGAATCGTGTATGTAAAGAATTAAAAATATTAAATGTGTCCTCAGTATTATCAGATGGAAGTGCGAGAATGATGTCATCGACATATCTGTAGTAAAATAATGGATGTATTTGTAGTTTCATGATGGCAATTTCTTTCAAATCCTGCATTACGATATTAAAATATTTTATTTACTAATTTTATTTTTTATTCTAAAATATTTTGACATAAAATGTAAAATATCAATAATCTATGTTTTTTATAATTTTATTTTAATACTTTTATGCACAAAATAATGAAATAAATAAATTGGTGAAGAAAATATTGTTGCATTGTTAAAAAGGTACGTAGTTGCGTATTGCAAAATTGCATAAATTTCTGAAAAATTATTATGTATTTTTTTCTATACATTAATTAATGGTTTGTCTCATTATTCTATGCAGAAAAATATTAAGGTTATAAAAAAATTATAAAATATTTTATATTTCATGTCAAAATATATGTGCCAATATAAAATATCTTGTAAGCTATTGATAATTCTACTTTCATACTTTTATATAAAGAATTATTAGAAAAATATTATATAAAAAAATCATGTAATTCCATTGAAAGAATAGCGATGAACTTTATATGACCGAAAACTAATGAAAACTAATTTTACTATTTATTCACCTCCCTCGATTCAGATCATTCAACTATTATGAACAAAGTTTCTTTCTAAAATTTGCGGGTTTTGAAATGTTTGAATGGTTAAATTAAAATTAATCATATTACTTATATTGTACAATAAATATAAATATATTATACAATATAAAATTATTTTTACATGTATTGTATATACACATCTCCACAAAAAAGAATAAATTTGTAATGGAATAAAATATAAATAATTGAGAAAAATATATCAACGGTCACATGATGTATGCACAAATTATTTAATAGATTTTAACAAACGCACGTTTACTGTTTCTATGACATCATCGGATCACACTCGAGATAGAAAAATGTTTTATTTTAAATTGCACGTAATAAAAAGCCAAAATTTCTGTGTGCAATCTGTCACACAAAGAGCATATCGTCTGCATTGCTCTGAAAGAAAACTAATTACCGCGCGCGCGCGCGCGAGAGAGAGAGAGAGAGAGAGAGGAGAGAGAGAGAGAGAGAAGAGTAACACACACCCGCGAGAACGGAGGCGCTTTGGAAATATATATGTTATGTAGTTTATTGAGCGGTCAATTAAACATTAAGTAATGCGGCAACGGTTAAACAATCTCCATTATTGTCGAGGATAATTTTATAACTGGTGTCTTTCGAGCCACCTCTACGGGTAGCACGGCCCGTAAGATTTGAGGTAACGACCTCGATATTGCTGACGAAATCCAAATTTGACGTCACAGCTGTTTTAGCGCGAACACAATGCTTTCCACCGAGGCTTCGTCTTCGCGATTGACCGCATATTTCGGATCGCATTCGGATCGGATTCGCGAACGTTAAGATAAATTCAACAATAACGGCGAAATATTACCGCGACTTAATAAAACAGTCACGCTCGCGCGCGCGTGCGATCGATTTGTGATAATAAAAGACACGCGATCAAGAATACGACGTGGCGCGCGAGTTTGCATTAATAACATTCTATAGTCATATCTTCTTCTCAGACGTATATACATTTTCGCGTGAATTAATTTGGTAAGATAAGTTCCTTAATTCTTTCTTTGGTGATAATATCGAGATCGAGACGATTCATCCCCGCAGAAATATCCTAATTAATTAATTAATTAAAGCCTGATCCACGCAAATTATCGAGATATATATATATATATATATATATATATGCCGAGACTATCTAAAAGTTCCAAAGAGAAGAGATGAAGCTAAAATAAGAGGCGTGCAGGAAACGAGAAAATCGAGTTCACACATGGAGTCATCTTCCTCTCGATATGATCGCTCTTTCAATAAAAGTAATTATTGTGTCGTCCTTTTGACATAAAAATCGAGGAAGCCTAGATGAGGGCGGAGAAAACAAATTGGGGAGAAACCTATTACGCGCGTACAAACGACCCATGGCAGATAATGAATTCAATTGTTTGCTGGTGGTATTATCGCCCTACTCCCGGTAATAACGACCAATCGGGGAAAGGGAAGGGCGCCCGCTGTTACATTCGAAATATATAAATGGACCAATAACTGTTATACTGCTATTCAGTCGGGTTCCTCGATTCACCAGTAGTTGACAAACTGCTTCTCTTCCTTTTTCCTCCCCCTTTTTTTCTTTTCGCCATCTCCGACTCACTTGGCACTCACCACCGAGCATAGCGCACCATCGTCCGAAAAATCGCAGCGTTCGCATTATTCCACGCATATTGAAGGTAAGTCATGCATGTTGTCCCAGCTTCAATCGCGCGAAGCTATCTAAGCCGATAAGCCGAAAATTATTTAAATTTCACGCACCGAATTAAATCGTTTACTTAATTGATTGTTGTAGATGTATCTCTCGGTAGATGTATACTGTATAATTTATCGGCGATACTTGATGGCTCGCGAATTCTCTCCGTTGTTAATGAATTTAAACGTGATTAAATAACGTTTTACCTTCTTCGGGCTTCGCGTTTTTATAACTTTCCGCAAGCTCGATTGTCAAAAATTCTTCAAACAAAGAAACAATCGAATTTGCTTCGAAATCGATTTACGTAACGTAAGCACGTATAAGCATCTTCATAAGCGCGACAAAAGATTTCTTTTCTCTTGCAAATCTCCCTCGCGAGGAGATCACCACCATCGGATAAAAGCTTTACGGCGTCGAAAGCTTTTTGGCGAGATAAAGAAATAAAGAAGGAAACTTAGAGTAAAGACATCCGCATCAATGGAGTGTACCTTTCGCACACGTGTCGTTTCGGTCCGTTTCCCTCTCCATTGCAAGGTGGCTGAGGCAAACCAATCCGGGTTAAAACGGCTGATGCAATCACGACGGAAGAGCACATCTATCGCTCTTATTCACGTATCTTTTTTTCAGCGGTCGGCCGAGACACGAGATATTAAGACGGTTGCTCGAATCGGTGTAAATTAATCGCTACTTATTCGCGCGTGCATACAGGGTGTTTCCTCGCTAAGCGCACCTCTGAGTCAGCGCTTCCCTCTCTCGCAGGAAGGTATATCTACATAGTTTCTAATCGTGAGCGATCGAGGAGTCTTGTCAACTAAGGCACGCATGGGACGAGCGGACGATAAGATTCCGTCTTTCTCCGTTATTTTCAGGTAGAATTTTTGTACTTGGGCATAATTATGGTATATATATTCGTTGCAATGCATGAAGCAAAAATTGCAATTTGAATCAAAAAACAAAGAAGTCTTATATTTTATTATTATTATTATTATTACACACACACACTCGCGCGCGCGCACACGCACGCACGCACAAAAAATTTTACTTCATCTTTTGGAGAGTTGAGCTGCATTCCAACGAATACTGATTCGTTCTGTGAAGGAGAATTATTAGATATTCTTTTAGATATTCTTTTACAATGCTGTTAAAGAAAAAGTTTATTCATAGATTGATACGACTCGGGAGGATCTGCTTAGCGAGAGACACCATATATATATATATATTGTATATGATATCTAAAATATAAGGAATATGTTGTATTGAGCATACATGATACAAATATTACTTCAGCGCGAAATCTTTCGAATCTTTATTTCATTATCCAGTCCTTCAGACTTGAAATTCTGCAGTAAGTTCGGTGTTACTGTGGAGGTAGATAATTAATTCGATACATATCGTCCAGGCTTTGCGAAACGCGACAAGTCCTTGTCGCTCGATTTATAGACAATCTCCGAACATTTTGTATATATACTTCCTAATAATTATTAACGATTAACGATACGTATTACGGCAAATTTCCGTAAGTAATTCTTTTCAGATGCAGCTGTGCCTCGTTTATCTTTTGACGCTCGTCGTCGCAACCGACGTAGCCTTCGGAAATCCTTTGACATTCTTTCTAATGACAAATGCATCATATACGCGGACAAACGTCGATCATCCCAGCACACCGAATAGACTGAAAAGTGAGATTAAACCAGTTGGCATGAAAAAGGTATATATTTCGTTACTTCGTAACAGAAACACATTTTTTTGAACTTGTAGGTCCTACTCAAGTTTTCTCTTACTATGTTAGTTTTAACATTTTCAACTATATAACAAATTGCAACACTTGAACTTAATACAATTATATAAATACAATTAACTTGTACAAGTAGTGAACAAAAGTATGAAAAATAAGAGATTGCGAAATATAAAATTATTTAACCAATAGAAGTCAAAACGTGATTAAAACTTAAAACAATGTGATTAAAAAAGCATACACCACGAGCGTAAGCTGTTAGCAGCGAAATATTTATATTTTAATAGATTACAATAGAATAAAAACAATACAAGAAAATAGACGTTTCTGCCTTATATCAGGCCATCTTCATTATTACAAAATTAATATGTGTTATAACTTTCATAATGTTGAGAACACCTAATTTCGCATAAATTTTATTCACGTTGTCATAATAAGATAAAATATTTTACACGCTCGATTACAATTATATTTTCGAAGCGTTTGACGTTTAGGTTATTGTTATAAAAAATTTTTTTAGTCCACAACATCAGTGAACATCACTGAATATTGTCACAAATTTAATTGGGATCATATTCAGATATTAGATATAGAACCATTCTTTCAGAAGAGACTAACGTGAGAAATGATCTACAGAAACAAAACGGACATAAATAAACAAAACGAAAAAGTTACCAGAGGCATATTTGCCCTTAAAACATAAATTGTATATAAATCGTCTTTGATGATTAGAGTTAAATATTTTCTTTTTGACTCTTGAACAGTCCAATGTGTTTTCCAAGTCTTGGATTCCACAACTCAACTTATTGTTAACACAGATATCATAATTTATATATATATCACAATTAAATTTATTTTTCAATTGAACTATTAATATTATTTATAAATTTCATATTTAATAGAATCTGGAAATTATGTGTTTCAATAAGTTCGATTACTTTTATGACAAAAATACGACATTTGGCTTCTGGATTATTTGACATGATTTTATGGACTAAAAAAAATTTTTTATAACAATAACCTATGCGTCAAACGCTTTGAAAATATAATTGTAATCGAGCGTGTAAAATGTTCTATCTCATGACAACGTGAATAAAATTTATGCGAAATTAGGGGTTCTCAACATTATGAAAGTTATAACACATATTAATTTTGTAATACTGAAGATGGCCTGATATAAGGCCGAAACGTCTATTTTATTGTATTGTTTTTATTCTATTGTAATCTAAAATATAAATATTTCGCTGCTAACAGCTTGCACTCGTGATGTATGCCTTTTTAATCACATTGATAAAATTATTTAAAATCATAAAAGAATAATATAATTATCAATTAAAATAAAATTAAATAATATAATAGAAGAATTACGAGCACGAACAGGATCTTTTAATATTCAAATTAGTAACGATAAACCACACAATTTACAAACGTTTCAATACCGATCGGGTCATTATCAGTGTAAGTCGGAGATTTTAACTTAGATGAAAATTTTATGTTAACAAACTAAACTAATCGCTTTTGCGAAGGAAATGCAACATCTTTATAAAAAGTTGGACGATTTTTTGTGTGAAATTGGCATCTCGCTATTTGTATAAACGAAGTTGTAGAGGTTGATGTAGAATCCTTGTAATAAAATTCGTTCTATCGATTATTATTAATCTTGATATACAATTAATACGATATTTTTATAGAATCTTGATAAAAGTAAGTCCATTGAATAAAATTAGAGTTGCAGATAAATTATAATGAAGCAATATTACGACAAGTAGTCAAGTATCAAGACGTTGTGTGTGTGTGTGTATATATATATAAAATGGATCATGTTCTAGTTACGGGTTAATGTCAATTCATCATTTGAACCAACGAATATAAAGTTATAAATTTGTTATAAACTTTTCATGATCTCTCTTTCGTATTTCAACTAAAAGAGACACCGCGCGGATTTTGACTCCGTTCTTCATACACAACGAGTCGAATTCTCTCTTTCCGCTTTGTATCTACAATTTCTCCGTAATACTATATACATATCTTTGTTCTAGAGCGGCTTCACGACAACGTGGACCAGAATTTTGCAGAATCCGCCGGATTCTTTAGAAGTTGCCGTTGGGTAAATATCTACTGCTTCGATATAAAGTAACGATTTTAATGCACACATAGATGCGAAAGTAACGTGATCGCATTCCTTTCGTGTTCATTTAGGAGTCGCGTCGAACTGCAATGCGAGGTAGTTGGAAATCCGCCGCCCCAGGTTTATTGGATAACAGGAAACGAGCCGGAAAGGCAGGTCGGTCTCGCTAATTAATGCTGAGAAAGATATCCTCGGTGATTTATGATAAAGGAGTTATATAGCAACGTGCTCTTTATACATACCGACACACGCATGTGCGCGCGTGCGCCACGTATATGTATGAATATATACATATATATATATATATATAAAATATATATATATATATATATCTTTCCTCTTGCAGATTGAGGAGTTGACCGCGCGGGCTCCAAA